TCACCTATAATTAAATATGCCATTCAAATATTCTATTTTAGTATGGTTTAAAAGAAATACATTACCCCTCACCCAGGTCTTAAAATTATATCAGAGTGGCATTCCATAGATCATGAAAAAAGATGTGTTCAAACACCAATTCCAATGCATAAAAAATGGTGATGCAATATTTCAATACTTGGTCATATTTGGAAAATAAAATGTCAAAATGTTGTTAGAATGTAAGGATAAAGAATGTAGCTTTAAATGCCATCCAGTAACAATTTTCACTATTAAATATTTATTGTAAGTATAGTTTATTCACTGAAACAAAGCAGTTACGTCATATTTAGTAAATTTGAGTGCCAACCTTAATGCAAAATAGATTGGTATGTATAGTTCGAATTTCCCAGGTACATTTATGTTGATAACAGTTTTCTGAGTTGTGAATTTGTCCCACAGCTTGTCAGGTAATTATGCCAATGGCTGTTGTTTATTTCCCTTCTTTTGCCTCAATATTTGCATTGTTATTTTATAAAAAGTTTTTTTCAAAACCTTGAGGTGTACTTTTAAGCATTTTGCTAAAATGCAGTAACCTCTGGTTCGACAAGCAAAAAAATTTGTCATTTCTTTGATGAAATATTTTGAGACTGAAAGAGATCATGGAGCTCCATCGAGATATTAGGTAGTAAATAGAATTTATACTAGCTCTAGTGTTTACAAAACATACACTCTGCAATGTTAGCTGCAGTAAGGTATGGAAGACATAAAGTAGATTTTGAAAAACATCCTAGGATCTAGTAGTTTTAATTATTTTGGCTACCATGTGTGTCACTGTCAATATTTGGCATTGTGATGTAACTGCTTTAATTCTGTGAATAAACTATATATCAATGCAGTTGAATGTGTGGAAACCATTCTGAATCTTCAAATTATTACCTGGATATTGCTGTTCTGCATACTTTCTGAACTGATTGTATGTCTGCTCATTTAAAGCTTGCTGGATCTGTCGTTTTATAGCTTCTTGTTTATATAATTGTTCTTGCAAATACTTCTCTTCCTCCTCTTTCTTTAGTTTCTCCTGAGCTTCGATCAACTTTCTTGATTCTTCATCTTTGCTGGAAGCACATTTTTAATAGTTGGAGTGATTGTTGATATATAATGAATTTTAAGGTTTCAGTACATAGTAAAGGAAAATACCCACTATGACAAAACAAGAAGTGAACTGATAGAAATGTACAAAATGTGTTAAGAGATAAAATAGCACAAGCGCACTATGATTTTCAGGACTCTTGAAGACAATATTAAATAAGAAAAGGTTGCACAACTGTGATTATAATGCATTATCATCCTCATCCTGGATACCCTGTAAACTTTTTTCTGGCCTGCCTCAGAGTTTTGCTGTTCAATATCATGTTCATTTTTACTTGGAAATATTCTTATTCCTAGGCAATAAAAACTTACTCTGGATGAAGCATAATTTATCTCAACTTCAAATCGTAACGCAAGACCACTAAGGCTGAACCCCCAAAAGCCCATACCAGGTAGGTTTTCTCCTTTCAGCAGAGTTTGAAGAAATTAGTTAGCATATTGGACCATTTGCATTATTTTCTAAGTGTATGTATGAGAGAATGTCTTTTAGAAATAAGTTTTGTATGCCCTCTTTTTATCCTCATTTAATGCTTTCTATTAAGTATGAGTATGCATTATTAATGGTACTTACATTCTTCTTTCCTGCTCTTTCTTCTCTCTCCTATGTGCTTCAATGTACGTAAAAAACAAGTGACACCTTCTACTAAGTAGCTCAACAAACCCTCTTCGAGCCTGATCAGCAGAAAGTTGTCCCAACTTTTGCCATGCTATTCGTCTATCTCTACCAACAACATCTAGAGTGCCTAAAGCTGGAAGTTTGTGAATTGCTTCTGCATATGGACCGTGCAGAACTTGCTGTGAAAATGCTACTAATTGTAATTTATCCTCGTAGCTAAAGTGGAAAGCTTTGCCTTCTTTTTCTGGAAAGAATTGTTTGAATTAACTTGTGTGCATTTTTACATAAAAGCATACCCTTGTAAAAATTGAAGGCCAGTTTGTAAACTTCCTGAAGAGGAAGACCATATTCAATACCGCCTGTATCTGCTTCTCCAATTGTCGTTGATTTACTCAAGGTACCATCGACTACTTGTTCTGCAGCCATTCTCGATGTTTAACTATAACCCTGGAAAATATAAATCAATATAATTAAGATCTTACTTTCAATATTGATCGATTCATTAGCACAACTTATTTAACTAATAAGTGAATAAATTTTCTTTAAGAGTTACAAATAAAAATAAATACACATACACAAAATTTTCCAGGAAACATAAAATTGAGAAACTAGAACTGTCAAGCCGACAGATGCAACATTAGTTCTGTGATTGATTGCCTCAAGGGCAAGTTGTAGAATTGGACTGCTGGTTACCGAATAATGCGGGTCCCACACGATGCTTCCAGCAGTCGACAAACCCACAATTGGCGAGTGTCTCCCACACGATGGGATGAACTTTTTAGTCTCGGACGTTCGACGCATGGTGGTGCCAACGTCTATTATCGGTGTCAGTATCGCACCTGAACCTTTGCAATTGAAAGGAAAATTAAACAAAATAAACAATGAAACAATTTTTTCGATCGCCGAAAAATAATTTCAGATCTGTCTTCAGCGAAAAAAACTTAAGTCTGTCAGAAGCGTCAAAAATATCAGAAAACGAAGTTTGACCGTTTTTTGTTTGTTTTTCGACGATAGCTCCACCGCCACTGTACCGATTTTCAAAAACTGCAGAGCTTTTTTGTCATTTTCATAGTAGTAACCTAGGGTCAAAATTCCATCAAAATCGTGTTAGTACTTTCAGAGTTATCATTTATTTCATCTTTTTCGTTAGTTATGAAATGGAAGTCAATATATTTCTCAACTAGTCTTACATCGCAACAGGACATTATAATGAAACAACTGTAAGCACTGGATAATTTATAATTTACTAAAATACATATCCTTAGGCCAGTCATAACTCACCTGCTAAGCAAAATATCAGAAATATGAAAAAAGTGTTCTTATGGCAGCTTATGCTTTGTATGTATACTAATTTAATCCATTATCCTCAAAAGTTAGTTACGCGCAAATTTACCGTCAAGAGCCCGAACGTTCCATGTGGCGAACGTTGGACACATGTAATCCGTCAGCAGTCTCCCTCACGATGCGGCGAATGTCCATGTGTCCAACGTTGTAAGGCATTCGCCACATCGTGTGGGAGCGGTTTAATGCCAGGAAAATAGCACGGAGTATTTAAATGTCGGCCAATCGCATTTTGGAATCATGCTGTTTTTCTCCTTAAAAAAATACGTAAAATATGGTAAAAAACCTATATTTCTCTGTTTTTTGGGATCTGGGACGTGTTTTCAAAATTGCAATACCGCTCTCAATACTTGACAGGTAGTAGCTCGCAGTATCTCAGTGTAGACCACTTTTTTGAAAGATCGCTCTTGTCATCTACCTTTTCCGCCTTCTGTCATCCAAAAACATGTTCAATGGTCATAAAAATGGTTGTAACAAGAAATTTAATAGGGATATTAAGTACTAAACATATAATTTTCTTCGCAAACCCTCAAACTAGTAAGCTTACAGCAAGACTTTTACATCGATGTTACCATTGCAACCACGCATCTTTTACGTCGCGGAACGTAACCAAATCATTATTCCAAAGTGAGTAGAATGAAGAATATGTAGTCATTTCATTTCATCTTTCCACTTTTGCAGATAATACTCATGCTGTAGTAACGGCAAGTAGGACTTTTCATCTAACTTCTCAACTTAGTGCTAGAAAGAACTATTACGAAATTTTGGGTGTGGGGAAGAATGCTTCCAATTCAGAAATCAAAAAGGCATACTATAAGTTAGCTAAACAGTACCATCCTGATGTGAATAAAGATCCTGAATCCTCCAAAAAGTTTCAAGAAGTTTCTGAAGCATATGAAGTAAGTAACTATACACCTTTAAGCCAGGTATACACAAATCAACCATGTAAATGAACATGAATAATCTCTACTATCAGCATTATTACAAGCCGGCTTATCATAATGTACTTTCCAATGTAGCATTAGACAGAGATAATTCTCTAGCTTAGCTACACCAGTCATTTTCAATGAAAAAATTAATACCCTAGTTTTTGGGTGTAGTTGATAGAATTGGGACTGAAAATGAGCACAAATGTGAAAGAGTTGATGGATAATTTCAGTATCTAAATTTGTATGTATGACTTCAAACTATGCAGCCCTACATAATATTGAATGCACTAGCTACTTGACGGCAAACAAATTGTACAGTAAAAGGAGAGCTGCTATGCATTGTGGTATGTATAGGATCCATTCCATTCTAAAAATGTCATGATTAAGAAGGTGTTTATACCTTTTAAAACCTAGATAATGTCAACAATATTCTGGAACTAACCTATTTGCAGGCATTTTTAATCTCATTTCTCTCATTTAGAACCCAGACCTAGTGTCTGTTTAAGTGGAGAATCAAATAAGCCTGGTGTAGCTAAGTTAGAGATATTTAATAGGTTTTTGGATATCTTACTTTTGTATCATATCAAAATTGTGTATTGCTCTTAAATCAGATTTAATAAAAGTATTTAGATAGATGTTACGATGAAAGTTCTTGAGATTGCTGGGATAGTACACATATCAACCTGAAGTTCATTTACCATCTTTCACAAAATGTTGAGTATGGAAAAAAAGTCTTTTCCAAATGGGTGCCGTGTTTTCTCACAATGGAACAAAAGCAACAAGTTGACAACTCAGAGAGCTATTTGTCACTGTTCACCCGCAATAAACAGGATTTCTTGCATTGGTATGTGACAGTAGACAAAAAATGGATCCAAGATTTTACTCCTGAATCAAATCGGCAGTCAGCTGAGTGGCGTGCAGCTGTTGAAAGCCATACGAAGCGTCCAAAAACGCAGCAGTCAGCTGGCAAAGTCGTGGCGTTATTTTTTTGGGATGCACAGGGTATAATTTACATAGACTGCCTTGAAAAAGGAAAAAGTATGAATAGCAATTATTACATTAAGTTACTGATGCGTTTAAAGGACGAAATCGCACACAACGACCGCACATGTAGAAGAAGAAAAAAATCATCTTTCATCAGGACAACACACCATGTCACAAGTCAATGAAAACAATGGCCAAATTGAACGAGTATGGCTTTAGTCTGCTTGCTCTAACGAGGAAGTTATTGCTGCAGCAGAAGCTTATTTTGACACCAAGGACAAATCTTTCTTCAAGCATGGTATTGAGAAGTTATAAAAACATTGGAATGATTGCATTGCACTTGATGGCGATTATGTTGATGAATAAAAATGAATTTTGTGTTATCACTTCTCTTGCTATGAATGAGAAGCAAATGTGACTCATTTTGGCATATTGTGTGATCAATACTAAAATACTATTAACCTAGTTTTGCTGTGATTCATGATAAAGATTAATTGAAAATCAATCCCTTTACAATTTAGAGAAAGAGCAAAATATTGAGGAAAGAATACAAATAGACCTAATTTATTTAATCTACATACTCTGATATATTCATTTTTTATTTAATCCATAGCTCAAGATTTAAGGTTTCAGCCTATGCCACTATTTCATCAAAATTGTATACACTTAATATTATGTATACACATACTGTGTCATATCATGTCAGTTTGTAAAGCTCTGATGAATCAAGAGCCCTGACATCGTCATCTTTTTAAATGTAGTAAATATAAATAGCTCCAAATTTTTAAAAAAAAATTCTTATCAACTCAGCATATCTATTCCTTTTTCAATATGTCTTATCAAAAATGATCATCACCTCTTTATTATAGTTTAACCTTCCCAAGTGTTGTCCTAATAATATCAAAAAGAATATATTTCTTAACCATCAAATTACGAATAAACAATTTAATTATACTGAATTATTTTTTCTAGATATTAGCTGATGAAACAAAACGTAAGCAATATGACACCTGGGGCTCGACAGCTGAACAAATGGGTGGTATGGGTGGGGCAACAGGTGGTGCTGGTGCAGGAGCATCTGGGCCCCAAGGTTTTAGTCAACATTGGCAATATCAGTCTACCATTGACCCAGAAGAACTGTTCAGAAAAATTTTTGGAGATGCTGGATTTGGCAAAGGGTCATCACCATTTGAAGATTTTGCTGATTCAAGATATGGATTTGGACAGGCTCAAGAAGTGAGTATACGCTGAATTTGATAAAATATTTGAACAGGTTCTGTGTGTTTTTGCTGTTTCAAGATTTCACACTAGAAGACACCTTCAAATATAGTAAAAATAAGAAAATACATCTAAAGTTTAGCATCTTGTATTTTTTCTTCTTACCTAGTATTAATTAACTTTATAAGATGATGCCCAGCCCAACCATAAAACCAAATTGAATGTTGACATAGTTTAAATAAGATATAAAATCACATTCCATTTCCCTTTGAAAGATAATTGTTTATTCTTAAATATCACTTCAATTCTCCAAGGAAAGATTAACTTCCCTCATAATGATTCTTAAGATTATGAATATCTCAGAATTTCTCAACAATAGAAAAGGAAATCCCATAACCTGTAAGCATTTCTAGTTAGTGGCACCATGGTACATGAATATGCCCATTTTTGCTCAAATGCGACTTCAATTGTGTTGGTAGAATGTGTTAAACAATGCTAGTAGCAAGTGATTTTGGATTTGTTTATTGTTTCATTGAATAATTTAGTAACTATTTTGTACATGGGGATATATTTCTAGTTAATATCTTCACCTAAGTAAAGATTAGACAGACTTACTATAATATCTTCTCAGATTTTTTAGTACCAGTTCAAGCCTCAACAATTCTTAAGGGGTAACCGCATTGTAACAGTCCATCAAGTAATTTTTAGTTGAAGAGGAGGTAATAAAATATTAATATTGGAGGAAGTTATGAAACATATAATTAACACAAAAAAATGGTGTCAAGTAACTTAGCTCTGTACTTCCTAAGCTACACTGTCAACAATTTGTAAGCAAATTAGCCTTTCTGAGAAAAAAGTTAGCTACAAACATGTATAAGAAAATATTAAATGACCTATCTCCTCCTCCTGAGAGGAATTCCTGCACATGCTGGTTGTCATGACTAATCCCGCGTGAATGACGGTGTTAGCCTTCACCATGCACAGTGTTTATATAGCGACAGCACACAGCAGTATGGAATCGATTGCCGACTGTTGGACATATTTAGTTTTAACGGTAAATATACGGGGACATGTAATATGAGTGAAATATGCCTAATATTTGAGTAGGTATATAAATATACCAACATCATAAAATTGAGAATTTCGAAAACTACAAGGCTTTCGCGTCCTTGACATAGTAGTTACATGGTGTACAAATTTCACCGAAATCCGAGCGGTACTTTTCAAGTTAT